GGGCGGTGAGGCTGGTGGAGCAGGGGATTCTGGGGCTGGGGCAGAGGAGGGCCAGGGGACTGGAGCAGAGGAGAGGGAGGCAGTAGGTGGGTCTGGGCTTGAGCCCCAGGACGGGGCTGGAGGGGCCGAGCCAGAGATGCAAGGGGCTGAAGTTGAGAGGACCAGCGGTGCTGTGGCCAGAGAGGTGAGTGTCCCTTTGGGTCAGATGGGGCAATGAGGGGAGGGAAACCCCCACACACCTCCCTAGGGAGCCAGCGTGCCCGGAAGGTGCTGCGGGTGCCCACGTGCCCTCCCTGATGCCATGGGGGCACAAGCATGCCCAGGCCATCGCAGGGAGCAGCTCCCAGGGCTCAGGATGGGCTGCTGGACTCAAGCCCCAGTGGTAACCCCCCAGGGGAGGTGAGTTCAAATCCCACCTGGGGGGGCGGGGAGGCCATGGTGGGGGAGGATAGGAGCTGGGGCCAGCAGTGGGGGTCTGGGATTTGGGGGGCAGGGGCCTGTTAAAGGACTTTGTTCCCCCCCAGGGGCGCGATGGGAGCACCTCAGAGGAGCCGCTGTCCCCAGAGATGGGGGGCGAGGAGGAGGAGTGGGGTGAGCCTGCACCCAGCTCCCCCGACGAGGGGCTGGCCAGCCCCACAGGGGACGCTGCCTTTGGGAAGGAGACTGGGGCCCCCCAGCCGGGTAAGGCCAATTGAATTGGGGAATGAGGGTGGGGGAGGAATATGGGGAGGGGACACCCCCTCACCATAGCCCCCCACAGTGCCCCCTAGCGCAGCCCCCCCAGTCCCATCTCCCACTGGGTCACCCCCCGAGCACAGCCCCCCCAATCTCAGATACTCAGTTGAGCCCACTTTGGTGACTGTTTTTAATGTCAAAACTTTGTAAATTCCTTTCAGGAGGCGCCTCCCAAAGCCGAGAAGCCGCTCCAGGTGGCAGCACCAGGTGAGAACACCCATGGGGGCCCCAGTACCAGGTTAAGGGACTCCTACCCCCAGCACAGCGCCCCCCAGTGCCAAGCAGGGAGGTGGAGGCACACAGCCGGGGGTGGGGAGAGCCCCTCCAGCACAGCGCCACCTGGTGCCAAGCAGGGAGGTGAAGGCACACAACCAGGGGAAGGGAGATCCTACCACCCCCCACAGCACACCGCCCCCTCTCTTCCTGGCCCATTCTCTGAACCATTCCCCATCTCTTTGCAGCACTGGAGGGACAGCCCAGCAGGACAGCGGGCAGAGCCCTGCACCTGAAGGAGTTGTGCCCCCCAAGGAGAAGCCAAAGAGACCAGCACTGGATCGGAGGGAGTTGACCCGACCCCGCCTGGCACCCAGGGCCCAGTCCCGCAAGGCCCTTGTGGAGAAATTTGGGGGGTGCGCAATCCACTATTAACCTCCCCCCAGGGGCTACGAATGGGCTGGCCTACACACGAGAGGGTGGAGCTTGGAGGATAGGCCCTGGTCAGTCAACCAATGAGGGGTGCTCAGTGCCATTAAAGAGCAACACGCCAAAAGAGGGTGTAGGGAGGGGCATCTTGTCACCGGTGGAACTCCCTGCCACTGGACGTTACGGACAAAGCGCTCGGGGCAGCTCTTGTGGTACCATGGGGGTTAACCCCTTCAGCTCCTGGCCCCGTGCAGGCTCAGGGGGCTGGTGGGACAGAGAGGGAAGGCCCAGGGATGGGGGAGGGAGGGGTCCTGGCCAGTCACTGCCCCAGCTTTGGGGCTCTGCAGCAGAATGCGCATTGTCCCTTCTCCCTGTGACACCGGCCCCTCCATTCCCCCTGCAGGGCAGCCAGCGGCCCGGCCCCCAACATCAAGAAGACTGGAGGTACCAACACCATCAAGAACATGCTGCTGGAGTGGTGTCGTGCCAAGACGCGCGGCTATGAGGTGAGAGGCTGGCAAGGGTGAGGTGGTGCCTGGCCTGCAGCCTCCTCCCCTCGGACACACAACAGGCCCTAGTAGCGGGGAGGGTAGACACTAGCCCCCCCACTCCCGCAATGACCGTGGGGATTGAGGGATGTCAGATGGAAGGGGCAGGGGCCCAAGGGTGCCTGCCATGCTCATAACTCAGCAGGGGCACACCCAGCCGGGCACACTGCCACCCGGATCTTCGTGGGGGTGACTAGACCTGGCCCAGGGGAGAAAGATGGAAGAGGAGGCAGCTGGGATAGCCGCTGGGAAGCATTGGGGCAGGCGGCTGGCCCAAGGGGTACAGCATGGGGGGGGGGGGTTCTACCATCCCCGGGTGAGCAGCTCTGCCCCAAGGCCCTGGGTCACAAGTGCTGACTACAACATGGAGAGTTTCCCCCTACACCAGGCAGGCCTCCGCCATGCTGGGCACAGCGCTGCCACCCATCCACTGTGGAGACGGCCAGAGAACATAGCCACCAGCTTTCTGCCCCAGCCTCTCTTCCTAGTGCATGGGAGGGGTGGGCAGCCCACGAGGGCGGGCACCCCCAGACCTTGCAGTGCCCACAAAGCGGCTGCGGGGGGGAGGGAAGACCCACCCAGTGCTCATGGGGCTGATTGGCTCTCCCTCCCTGTGCCCCTGCTCTGCTGCCTGGCTGCCAGCACGTGGACATCCAGAACTTCTCCTCCAGCTGGAGCAGCGGCTTGGCCTTCTGCGCCCTCATCCACAAGTTCTTCCCTGATGCCTTCGACTACGCAGCCCTCGACCCGGCCAACCGCAGGGAGAACTTTGCCCTGGCTTTTGCCACTGCTGAGTGAGTGCACCCCACCCCCAATGCCCAGGCAGCCAGCCCCACCTGGGGAAGGGCCTCTGCCACACAGCCGACATGGGGCTTGGAGGCAGAGTAGGAATCTGCGGTTGCCCAGTAGGGGTGGGGCTGTGACACCAGGGAGGGAGAGGAGCCTGCACTGCCCAGCCCCACCCTCCCCAGCAGCAGGTGCTGTGACGCCAGGTGGGCTTGGGTGTAGCAGCCCACCCTATGTCAGCTAGTGTAGGAGCCCGGCTGGGTGCTGCATCCAATAATTGAGGCTGTTAGCTTGGCCACCCTGTGGCTCCTGGGAGCTCTGCCCTCGTCCCCGAACTCCCTGAGCCCAGAGCTCAGTGACCCTGACAGCGCGGGCCCAGCCCCGCAGCCAAACCCAACCAGGCCAGGGCCCCGTCCTGCTGGGACAGGCCTGGAAGCAGCTCCAGGGATGCACCCTTTAGCCTGGACTGGACACCAAGCCCTTCTCTAGGGCACTAGCTCCGCGGTCCCCTCCCTTCACGACAGGCACATCCTGGGCCACTTCCTCTTTGCCCACTGGCATCAAACACTGCCTGGTTTGCAGAGGGGCCATGGCTTGGGACAGGAGGGAGGGGAGGCCAGTGGGACAGCCATGCCCAGGGGACACACAGAGCAAACCAAGGGCCCCGGGGCCGAGTCGAGCGCCCTGGCCGAAGGCAGCGCTGCTGTGCTGACCCCTGGTCTCTCGCCCCGCAGGCAGCATGCCGATTGCGCCCCACTGCTGGAGGTGGAGGACATGGTGCGCATGAGCGTCCCGGACTCCAAGTGCGTCTACACCTACGTCCAGGAGCTGTACCGCAGCCTGGTGGACAAGGGGCTGGTGAAGACCAAGAAGAAATGAGGTGGGGGGAGCAGCTGGCCAGGGAAGCAGAGAGCGCGCCAGGCGATGTGGGTGAGGATGGGCCGCCCAGACATTCAGCCTGGCACACGGGGGCATGGGTGAGGAACAGCAGGGGGTGCTGCCGGGAATGGGAGCACTCTATACGTTCCATCCTCCCTCTCACTGCTCACATGGGAGCAAGGGACGTCTCAGTGCCTGGGCATCACCTCCTCCCAGAGGGGCAGATTGAGCTAGCCATCGGGGATGGGGTGCTGCGCCCACCTCGGCCCCTTCAGAACCTTCACCAAGGCCCAGAGTTCAACCCCACCAGGACATCACCATGGCCCCTTTCAAATCACGGGGGGGGGGTGTTCTCTCTGCTGGCCCATGCCGGATGGGGCACCTCCATCCCCGCCCCAGTCAGCCTAGCCCAGTGCCTGGCTGAACTGGGCGCCTATGTCTGAACACTCCCATGGGGGCAGGGCAGAAATGGGCATGGGTGGGGAGGGGGTTTCCTGCTTTGGAGAAAAGCCTTGCCCCACCCCCACCCCAGAGCATGATGGGGAGGAGCTATCCCCTCCCTCCCCCAACCTCCTGAGCACCGCCCCTGTGGCAGTCCCCTCCATGAGGCCTGGGGTGGGGGGGTCCAGCAGGGCAGGGCAGCTCCAGGGGCATCTTCTCTCCCCTGCCCGAGGTAAGGAAGAAGGCATGGGGGGTGTCATAACAGATTCTTTCCAGTGGCCTCTTTTCAACAGAGCCCCTCCCCGCCAAGCCTGGTTCTGCCTCATGCCCACCGATCAGCGGTGGAGCCCACTGCTCGGCAGACCAGCTACGGGCAGGATACCGGTCCTCGCCCCTGCCCGCTCTCCCAGCCCCCGGAGTCCTTGGCTGAGGCTGAGCGAGCTTCCAACAGGTGCCACCAACGCCTCACTGGGGTGTGTGGTAGCTGGCAGGGACCCCTCCAAGGCAGAGTTCCTGAAGCAAGGCCCCCCGCCCCCCCAGGCATTCGACCCCCACAACACCTGCTCCCCCTCTCCCAACAGGTCTGTCCTGGAGCTCTCCCCCAACGTGGCATCTCCTCCGCTGGTAACCGTCCACAGCCATCTCCTGCCTGCCCCCTTCCCAGCCCACGGCTCACGTGTGCACACGAGTCCCTGGCAGATCCAGTAAAGCAGAACTGCTCCAAGCTCAGGCAGACGCCGGGCGGTTTCTTGTGGTTAGCTCGGGTAGGTCGAGGGCTCCATCAGCGCCGGCCACATTCCTCGGCCAGGGCGCAACAGATGTGGCTGTGGCTGCAGCCCAGACAGGAGCGATGCCCAGCAGCAGCAGGAAGTCGCCTCTGCTCCCCGCCAACGCCAGATGAGCACGTTTCACCATAGGGCTGGGGCCAGCATTCCTCGTGGATCCAAGCTGGCAGCGGGCGCCTGGAACGCGTCTTTGGCTGGCCACAGCAGGGGTGGTTCTCCTGGCACGTCCAGGGTCCATTAGAACCAAGCGCCCACACTCAGGGCTACCCCCACAGCAGCTGCCCAGCTCCAAGTGACAGTGACCCAGGGCTGCCTTGCTGCTGGTGCCAATGTGACACCCAGCTGGGTGCCAATGATCTTCCAAGCTCTGAAGGGCCTTGTCCAAATGCAGGCTTCTGCTCTGGGCCTTGACTCAGCTCTGCCAAGCTGCCAGATCCCGCAGCGGGCCTGGAAGTCATAGGCTTGAGCACAGATCCCCGCCCCCTTCCAGCCCGTAACTACAGCCCTCGTAGCTCTGTGCTGCCCTCTGGTGGCAAAGTCTTGCTAGCTCTAGATCATGGATGGTGCAGACGGGTGACGGCACCAACAGCAGTCACTTCCTCCAGGTCCAGGGCACCAGGCAGCAGCTGCTCAAGGGCCATCTGAGCTGGCCCTGAGGTGACTTGCGGTTAGGACAGGAAGTGGAGTGGACCATACCAAGGGAGGAGAGAGAGAGGCAGGGTGTGATCACTCAAGCTGGCAGGGGCTCTGACACACCCGCCTGTGGGATTTTTAATGGGCACAAAGACCTCAGTTTTATGTACCCTGGGAATGCAGCTTCCCCCCCCCCCCCGCGCTGTCCGGGGGGGCCCTATAGGGTCACACATATGGCTTTGGCAGCTCTCAGCTGGGCAACTCCATGGTCTGACCCTCAAGCCAGCCCGTGGTAACGGGGGAGAACGGGAGGGAGGGCTGGGGGGAGCTGGCTAGGAACAGCACCCGGCTCCATGGGAACAGGCTGGCTCAGGGAGCTGGGACAGGACCCAGAGCCCTTCCCCTCCAGTGCAGAGCAGGGGGTGGGGCGGAGGAGAGAGATCAGAATGGTTCATCCTCAGGGCATCTGCTCCAATCCCACCTCAAAGAGAAAGAGTCTAGAGATATTCCGAGGTCCCCAGGGAATGGCCCCACACCACGTTGGGGCAGGGAAGGCAGCTGCCTGGGAAATCATCCGAGGGGGGGATCAGCACATGGGAGCAGAGGGATCACGGTTCATTTTTATTGACCAGAAAAAGGAAGTTATTTCACACACACACACACACACAACCCCCCCACCCACCGACAAACAAAGGGGCTATTTTAAAAAACATTTCTCATCACACTATTACAACCCAGAATCACCCTCCAGCCTGATACCCCCCTCCCCTCCCCCGCACACAGCCCCAATCACCTGCCCAGCTGCAGGCATCACTTCCTGTCTGCATGGGCTGGGTGCAGGGAAGGCATTTGGGGCTGCTCTCTCCCGCCTCCAGTCTTTGCAGCTGAGGTTTTAAAGTGCCAGGCAACAAACCAAAACAAGATCAACAGTGGCAATGGGGTTCATGGCATAAAGCTCAGTGCCCAGGGAGCGGCCTTCGGCCCGACCACTCCTGGAGGCCTGGGGACCCCCCAGTGAAGACGAGGTGAGCAAAGGAGTCAATCAATGAAGGGAAGGGGAAAGCCCACATACCCAACTTCAAACCCCCCCAGGGCTTCAGTGCCCCCTCTTGGTTGAAGGGCTCCAACAAGTGACAACAGTGTTACCATGAGGTGCTGGGTCCCCCCTTAGTCCGGGCAGGGGTGGGGCATATGCCCCAGAATTCCATGGGGTGCATCGCCATGACAGCATGCAATGGTGGGAGGGGCCACCTTGGCCCCACCCACTCACTAGACTTCACCCACTGAGTGCATAGGCCCCACCCCTGCCTGGGACAGCGAGTCTTCCCCACCAGGAGCCGGCAGGGGATGCCAGAGCAGGAGCAGGGTCACTCGCAGGGCCGCTTCTCGCTGAATTTGCGGGTGTGATCCTCGGCGTTGCGCAGGAACCTCTTGTAGTCGCGGGTGAATTCCTCGGCCAGGTCGGCACGCAGCGGGTGGCCCGGCTCGGGCTCGTTCACCAGCGCGATCAGGGCCTGGATCACTGCACAGAGGGGCGGGGGGGGGGGGTCAGCACGGCACGGAGCAGGGCAGATTGTGCCTGCTCCCCCACACTGGCCCCAGCACCCCCAGCCACCCCAGAGGGTACCAGCCTCACCCACCCATGCTGCCCCCTGGCATTGCCACCTACCCCACAGAATACCAGCCTCACCCACCCGCACTGGTCCTGGCACACAAACTGCCGCATGCCGCCATCCTCACTCACCCCTGCAGCCACATCACTGCCACCCTTGTAACCCCCCAGACTCCACAGGCCCAGCGCTTCTGGGCAACATCCCCACTAGCTCCCTGGAGGCGTGTACGTGCGGCAGGGGGGCATGTACCTTGATCCGTCTTGGTGGCGGGTTTCCAGTTCTCAGCGCTGATGATTGGCAGGCAGACTTGCCCCTTCTCGTCCACGTTGGGGTGGTAGATCTTAGTTTTGAAGGTGACCTTGGGGGGCTTGAAGGGGTACTCGGCTGGGAAGCTGATCTCGATTCGGAAAGCGCCTTTGTTGTAGGGAGGATTGTCCTAGTCATAGGGCAGGAGAGAGAGGGCAGGAAGCTATAGAGCCAGCAAACACTGATCCCTGGGGAGTACTGGGGGCTCCCCCCATCTGAACCCAGCACAGATCCCCTTGGGGCATGCAGCCCCTTCTGACACCCCTCCCCCCCATCTCCCAGTCCCCACACTCACCGGTACCAGGAGCCCTTTCCACAGGAGAACATTGGTGTCGTCCACCTCAACGTCCTTTAAGCAGCGGGACCCAGACCTCTTCAAGTCATCCAGCTCCTGCAGTAGGACAGAGCCGAGCCATCAGTGACCATGCACCGCCCCCACATCAGAGCTGCCCCCCAATTGGCCCCAGCCTTCTGCTCCCTAAAATTGCCACCCCAATAGGCCTCAGACTCCCATTTCCCCAGCAAGCCCCATCCACCCCCATTGTAGCAGCACAAACCAAACCACCAGTGGCACCAATTCAGATCTTTCTTGGGGGGCGGGAGGGGGGAGAATTCCAGTTCCTGACACACACACACCAGGAACCTGCTTGTCACCCCCTCCACTGGGTAAATGTATAAGTGCAGTTGTATGACAAGGCTGCTTGTGATGGTAAGGACCGGGTTCAGCAGCCCTGGGGCTCAGTTCCGGTTTATGTCCTGTGTTCCTGATGCTTCAGGGTTTCAGCCACAGCCACCCGCAGGGGTCAGGAAGGGATTTCTCTCTATGTATTCTGGAAGGGTTTTTTCTCTCCTTTGAAGCATCAGGGATGGCCACAGCTGGAGATGTGACATCAGGCGGTCGGGCATCTACCATTCTCTCTCAGAGGTGCTTGGCAGGCTGGATCCTGCTCGCATGCTCAGGGTCTAACTCAGGGGTGGGGAACCTCCAGCCCAGCGCAAGTCTCCACACCGTGGGCCGGAAGCCCGGCGCCTCAGTGCCCCCCTGAGGGGGGAGGATTGCCAGGCTGTTAAAAGTCTGGTCGGCTCTGCGCAGCAACCGGAAGCATGCCCCTGTGGCCCCTAGGCACAGGGGTGATCAGGGAAACTCCGCGTGCTGTCCCCACGCCCCGCGCTGACTCCGCAGCTCCCATTGGCCGGGAACCACAGCCAACGGGAACCACAGCCTTTGGACGGAGGGGCAGCCAGGCCAAATCTGACTGGTACTGTGAC